GCTACCGTTTGTCAGGTTATATTTTAGGACTGTTGGCTGGGGAAAAGCTAAACTATTGACCAAACTGGTTAAGCTGACACCAAGAGGGGGACAAAAAATTAAAAACAAGACGTATGTTTCTGAACTACCAGCATCACTTTCCAATGTTTCATGCTAGACAATGATCACGGGTTTGCCTTCCCTTCCACAGAAGGGCATAACCAGGAAAGGATGTTGTCTAGCAGTCATCACAGAATACCTAGAGTGAGAAAGAAATTTAATCAGAACAATAAACATGCAGGGAAAAGTGATTTTATATTTGAATGGTATTATTTATTTTTATTGCTATAACAATTAAAATATGTCAAAAATAAAGGTGCAGTGTTGTCTTCCAAATGTATTTCTGAAATACATTAATTGAGAATAGATGCAGAGGTAGCAAAGTGCACCATATTAAACAGCCAGGTTTTTAGAAGTGAGCACTTCGAAAATATATTCACGTATAAAATGTTTAAATGGGCTGTCAAGTATCACAGAGCATAATTACTTACACATAAGTTATTACACAATATGGTGCCGCCTTGTTTTTGTTTATAATTATTACAAAACATTTACCTATGAAAACTGCACCCGTATCATGTAGACTTAAAAAAAAAAAAGTGGAACTGGGGCATGGTCAGGGAGTTTTGATGCCACCGTCTATCAGATTGTTTTGCCCTGTATTTGGTAAATACAAGCAGGCTGATATTTTGTGTCTGTGGAGTTTTTAAAAACTTAACATTTATTTACCCTTTTTGTTATTGGTGGAAGTGGGGTGTCCACCGGTGGAAGTGGTAGATCCCCCCCTCCACTGGGTGTTTGGGGTCGGATCCTTTTGATATCTCAAGAAGAAGAACTTTCTGAGACCCATACCGGAGGATGGTGATATTTATTTATGTGGAAGTACATCCCTGAGCTTGCAAAGTCCCATTTCCCTACATTCAGTCCTGGGAGAGGTGCAGCTGGGCAAGCAGCAGAGCTAAAAGCAAAACCGGGTCCAGCGTTTCTGCTCCATGGTGGAGCTGGGTCCAGTTTAGCATTAGGCTAGTTGCAGTCCGTTCGTCCATTGTGTATAGGCTCCAAATGGCCCTGAATCGTGTGGGCAATGCAGGGGAGCCAGCAGAGTGTGCCCCCTGCAACAAGAGGTCCAGGGGAGAGAACCCCTTTGTTTAGGAGATGATATATCTCAAATCTTCCCTTGCTTGCTGTGGCCACGCCCACTCTGGCCAATGACCTGTTCCCAGGTCTGGCTGACAGACAGATACCTTCCCTATGCCACTCAGACTTGACTTTGGCCTTCTCTTTGCTCCTTTCCGATTATTTACATCCAGTTAGTTGCAATGGTATCATTTTTTCTGTCAATGCAGAAGACAAATACTGTCATAGAATGATTACTTGGGTTTTTGTAAAAACCTAAGGATTGTCTTTATTGTATTATAATCATCATGTAATACTGGGGAGGACCTTAGATTAAGTTCCTTGCTTCTTTTATTTTTAAATATATTTTATTGATTTTTTACAGAGAGAAAGGGAGAGAGATAGAGAGTTAGAAACATCGATGAGAGAGAAACATCCATCAGCTGCCTCCTGCACATCTCCTACTGGGGATGTGCCTGCAACCCAGGTACATGCCCTTGACCGGAATCGAACCTGGGACCTTTCAGTCTGCAGGCCGACGCTCTATCCACTGAGCCAAACTGGTTTCGGCAAGTTCCTTAACTTTTTATTTGTGTAGTAAGTGAGGTCGAACAACTTGGCAAAGGTCAATTAAAAAAAGAATGTAACACTAGATTTAGTACTGTTTCTTATTACATTGTTGAGGTTTTTATTTTCTGTCGTCCTATAATATAGAGTCACCTTCCAATTTTTCCAGATATTTTCAACAGATGATTAAAATTAGTTCTCATTAAATGGGGTTTCTCACCTTTTCATTACATGCATGTTAGAAGATAAACCCTGGTACTTTTCATATACTCTACTTTGTTTTACTTTTTGATAATTTTGGCAGGTTTATTACACATAAAATGCATAGAAATTTAGCTTTTAAAATTATAATGGACCTGATACATGCATAATTGGTGCTTCTTTTTTAAAGACCACTTTAAAAAATTTTTATTTTGGTAAGAACACTTAATATGAGATCTACCCTCTTACCAGATTTTTAAATATACAATAAATTATTGTTCACTAGAGTTACACTGTTGTACTATAGGATCACTAGGGTTGTTCATCTTGCTTGACTGAAACTTCATGCCTATTGGTTAGTAACTCTCAATATCCCCTAACCCTGCCCTTGGCAACCACCATTCAGATACCTCATATAAGTGGAACCATATAGTATTTGTATTTCTGGAACTGGTTTACTTAACTTAGCATAATGTCCTCAAGGTTCATCATTTTGTTGAGTTCACTGACAATTCCATTAGGAGGTAGAGAAGACTTACACAAAACCCTTTCAAACCATCATTGCTCATTCTTTTAAAAAAATATATTTTTTTATTGATTTCAGATAGGAAGGGATAGAATCATCGATTGGCTGCTTCCTGCATTCTTCCCCCACCTCCCACCCCCACACTGGGGATTGAACCTGCAACCTGGGCATGTGCCCTGGGAATCGAACAGTGACCTCCAGGTTCATAGGTGTGTGCTGAACCACTGAGCCATGGCAGCTGGGCTTTTTAAAAAATATTCACCCGGTGATATGTTTGCATTGATTTTGAGAGAGAGAGAGAGAGAGAGAGAGAGAGAGAGAGAGAGAGAGAGAGATATCAGTGTGAAAGAGAAACATCTTGCCTCCCATACTCACCCAACAGTGGACTGAACCCACAACCTAGGAAATGGAACCCACAGTCTTTAGATGTATAGGATGACACTCCAACCAACTGGGCCACCCAGTCAGGGCAGCATTGCTCATTCACATTCTCTGAAAATTACAGCTAATAATGCTTCCAAAATTGTGCCTCTCCCAATGACATTTCACTATGTCACTGGCTCTGGCAACCCATTCTCTACAGTCCTATAAAATATATACTTAGCAATAAAACATACACACAGAAACATATGCATATGTACATACACACTCAAATATATAAATATAATAAAAGCCTAATATGCAAATTGACCGAAGGGTGGAACAACCAGTTGCTATGATGCACACTGACCACCAGGGGGCAGACGCTAAACACAGGAGCTGTCCCCAGCCTGCAGGCCCTAACCAGCGTGGGGGTGGGGCTGGCGAGCAGGTGATGCCAGGCCAGCCAAGGCAAGTGTGAGCAGGGACCCTGATCATCCCACCAGTTACCCCACAGATTGGCCCTGATTGCTGGCCAGGCCTAGGGACCGTAACCATGCACGAATTCATGCACCGGGCTTCTAGTCTACACTAATAAAAGACAAACATGCAAATTGACCATACCTTCACTATGCCTTAAGCCACGCCCACCAGCCAATCAGAGCGACTATATGCAAATTAACCCAACCAAGATGGTGGCCACCAGCCATGGAGCTGGAGTAAGCAGGAGGCTTGCTTGCCCCAATGATGGAGGAAGCCAAGCTTCCCGCCAGCTCTGAGCTCCACTCAAAGCAACAAAGTTTCAATTATAGAAGGTAAATAAACCCCAGATACCTGCTTTCAGCCCGCCGTGGCCACGGAGCTGGAGCAAGCAGGAGTGGGTTGCCCCTGGTGACGGAGGAAGCCAAGCTTACCTCCTGCCTGCCCTGGCCGGCTCTGAGCTCCTCTCAAGGCTACAAAGTTTCAATTATAGAAGGTAAATAAATCCAAGAATAAAAAAGAAAAAGAAAAGAAAAGAAGGAGAGGAGGGGAAGGTCAAGGGGAGAAAAAAAAAAAGGAGACATATATAATACTTTTTGTAATACTTTAAGCAATAAAACTGTTAGGTCGGAAAAAAAAAGAAAAGGAGAGGCTGGGAGCTTCCGTCATGGGGGGGGGGGGGGGGGGGAGAGCTTGGCCAGCCTAAAAATGGCCCTCAGTCCCTCACTCAGACTGCCAGGCACCCCAGTGGGGACCCCCCATCCTAAAAGGGGTGTGGCCAGCCTGAAAACAGCCATCAGCCCCTCACCCAGGCTGGCCAGGCACCCCAGTGGGGACCCCCACCCTGAAGGGGGTGTGACCAGCCTGCAAACAGCCATCAGCCCCTCACCCAGGCTGGCCAGGCACCCAAGTGGGGACCCTGACCCTGAAGGGGGTGTGACCAGCCTGCAAACAGCCATCAGCCCCTCACCCAGGCTGGCCAGGCACCCCAGCGGGACTCCCACCTTGATCCCGGGACACCCTTCAGGGCAAACCAGCCAGCCCCCACCCATGCACCAGGGCTCTATCCTATATAGTAAAAGGGTAATATGCAAACTGACCCTAACAGCAGAAAGCCTGGGAATGACTGGTCACTATGACACACACTGACCACCAGGGGGCAGATGCTCAATGCAGGAGCTGCCCCCTGGTGGTCAGTGTGCTCCCACAGCGGGAGCTCTGCTCAGCCACAAGACAGGCTGCCAGCTGCCAGTACAGCAGTGGTGGTGGGAGCCTCTCCCACCTCCTCAGCAGCGCTAAGGATGTCCGACTGCAGCTTAGGCCTGCTCCACGCTGGCAAGTGGACATCCCCCAAGGGCTGCCGGGCTGCCAGAGGGAAGTCTGACTGCCAGCTTGGGCCTGATCCCCCAGGGATCGGGCCTAAGCCAGCAGGTGGACATCCTCCGATGGGTTCCAGACTGCAAGAGGGCATAGGTCTGGCTGAGGGACACCCCCGGGTGCACAAATTTTTGTGCACCGGGCCTCTAGTATAAATATAAAATACAAATGAAGGAATGATTTTTACTGGCACAGATTTTTTTTTTTTTTACTCACTGGTTCCTAACTAACAACACGAGGAAAGGAAAGTTCCTTTCTAATTTCCAGTCAAGCTAGATTTTATACTTTTTCCTAAACTCTGAACACATCTTTTTTGCACCGTATGAATTATATTTTGAATATGGAACACTTCATGAATTTGTGTCATCCTTGTGCAAGGGGCATGCTAATCTTCTCTGTATAATTTACAATTTTAGTATCTATCTCTGTTGCCAAACTGAGCATGCAGCACCATGAATATGTTAACCTATAGAAGTGTTACCACCTAATTGAAAATATTCTGTTTAAAAATTTTTTGTTTTCTTTAAACCAAAAGGGAAAACTGTGTTCTTGCAACTATCTCAGTTTGAATAAAAATATATTTATTGTTATCTGTGTTGATAAAAAGTTTGAGTTACTGTTTCCCTTACTCTGTATTCTACAGAATAAACAGCATACATTTCATATCAAATAGAGACATACACCATTTTGGACAATTTAACCCACTGCATTTATATAGCTATAAAGGGACTGCAGTGCTTTTTAATATCCCATAGTAGTACTTAAAGAGAATAAAAAATGTAAACAGTAAGAAGATACGCTTATTTTAAAAGTGTTCTCTGATCCTGTATCACCACATAATGGTGTGTATAAAATGTGCCACAATTCTGAAGTTAGAGGACATAGAGTATGAAAAATTATATTTATCATTAAAATCTGCCTGTCATTTCTCTTAAAATCTTTATACTTGAGTCATCCTTAGATAGTGTCTTTTAAAAACTGATAAATTCTGTCGCATAGCAGAGTATCTTTTGTTAACTTGTATTATTGGAGAAAAATGCCCTGTGGCTTTTACAATCACACACCCAAGTCGTTTTAGGCTCAATGATTTTATTATCATTGCCCCCATTTCTTCCAGTAGTTTATCTTCAACTACCCAAGCACAAGTGGAATGGAAAAAGTAGAATATTTCTCTATTACGTTGCTTTTTACTGTTTAAGCAATCTTCTTTAAAATCAGGAGAAATGTGACAAGAAAACTACTTTGGGGGTATATATTTACAGATTTGTCTCTTTTATTTAATGACCATGAATGCATCTTCATTTTATATGTGTTAGGCCTGTAATTTTACCATAGTAACTAGACTTGATTCTATATAACATTGCATGTTTTATAGCTAAGGATCAATTTAATTCAATAAACATTTTGGTAATATTTTCCCATGTATTTTCTTAAATTGAAGGGACAAAGAGACAGAACTAGGGGACAGATAAAATGGTGCCAACAATTTAAAAGAGTTTGACGGTTCCTCAAAAGATTCTTAACCTTTTTTAAAAAAATACATAAATAGGCATCCATTTTACACAAGAGAAATAAAAATATCAAGCCACAAAGATGTTTACACATATTCACAGCACATTATTTCTAATAGCCGAAAATTGAAAACAACTCAAATGACCACCAAATGATAAGTGGATAAAGATAGTTTACAATAAAAAGAAATGAAATACTGATCCATGGTATAACCTGAATGAATCTTGAAAACATTATGCTCAAAGAAAGCAACACAAAGATAAAATATTATGATTCCTTTTATATAAAATGTTCAGAATAGATGAATCTATACAGAAAAAAAAATAGATTAGTGATTGCCTACGGCTGGAGGGTGGGATTAAATTGGGGAGTGACTGCCAATGGGCATGGGGTTTCTTTTCAGAGTGGGGAAAAAAAGTTCTAAAGTTAGATCGTGGTAATTCTAAAACAACTCAATAAATACACCTGAAAGTACTAAAGCCCTAGCCGGTTTGGCTCAGTGGACAGAGCATCTGCCTGCAGACTGAAAGGTCCTGGGTTCGATTCCGGTCAAGGGCACATGCCAGGGTTGTGGGCTTGGTCCCCACTAGGGGGCCTGCAGGAGGCAGCCGATCAATGATTCTCTCTCATCATTGATGTTTCTATCTCTCTCTCCCTCTCCCTTCCTCTCTGAAATCAATAAAAATATATTAAATATATATATTTTAAAAGTACTGAATAGTTCATTTTAGTGAATTTATGACATTTTAATATATCTCAATAAAGCTGATTTAAAAATCAAGTGTCACTAAGTTATGGAGCTATGCCTATATAACATGATACAATATTAAATAAAAATGCATGGGAGGGCATGTAATTGATTAAACAAGATTTGCCATAGGTTGATAATTGTTGAAGCTGACTGAGCGTATCTGGGAGCTCATTTTATTTTTTCTAGTTTTTTTCCTATGGTCCAAATTTTTGAAATCAGTTTAAAAAATAATTTCCCCAACCTTACTTAAAGATCATGCCCATGTGCTTAGAAAAATTGATTGCACTGTAAGAATAATCCTTATTCCTGTGAAATACCCATTGATTGTGTCAAATTAACAATTGGCAGGTATTAACCACATTTGATGTATTAAATCAAATTCCTAGAATGAGAAAATGTGTCCCCTTGAGAGCTGATGGATTGTGTTCTCTTTGGAAATCAGTCACTTTCTTACTAAGAAGGGAACATTGATGGTTTGACTTTGGATGGAAGGCACACAATGCAATATACAGATCATGTAAAATATACACTTGAAACCTCTATAATTTTATTAACAAATGTCACCCCAATAAATTTAATTTTAAAAAAAGGATGCATTGAGACTTTACATTCTAACTCTTTTGTCTATAGTCTTTCATGTGTAGGAAATGAATGAATCCTTGTAAAAGTTGTAAAATAAATTTTAAAATCTATCTTCTTCCTCCCTAAAGATTTCCTAACATCCCCTTTGGAAGAAAACTCTCACCTTTGTAAGGAATTAAACCCCATCATTTTATCATAACTAAGATCAAAGCAGGAATGCTTTGTCACCTATGACTTGCTACCATTGTTCGCCTTCAGGGAGTCAAGTCCAGAACAGGGCCAGGGTTAGTCAGGACAGGGATGGTGAATGCTTGCATCCATGCTGCCATTCCCTCATCTCGAATCAGGACAGATGATGCTAATTCATCTCAGAACTTCTTCCTCTTGAGCTTTAGAATCCTTCTCAACAAAATGACCCAGGGACAACACCTCCAGACAGAATTTATATATGAATTAAAACTTATTTGCTCTCCAGGTTTTAGGTATATGGATGCTGAGCTGATATTAGGAATAAAGTTAAGAAAAGGTTGGTATTTTGATTCAGCATGAGAGTAAATGTTAATCCGAGAATGAAAGGCTTTAGCAAGGCACAGCGCTGGTATTAGGGTTTTAGCTAAGATTAGTGGTAGAATTAGGGTTAGTTTTAGATGGCATAATTATAATTTTATACTAGAGTTATGTCTTAGAACTTTTTGCTTAATATTAAAAAGGATGAAGTTAGAATTGAGTGTATTTTACTGTGATGATTAGATGAATATCTTTTTTTAATTAAGTACTGTATATATTTATTCAATAGTAGAAGAAACAACTAGTACATTTTTTTCTTAGCCAATACTTCTATTGGTATTAACCTTTGTTTTCAACAGACTCTATTTCATACAAATTTATTATATATACAGGTGTCCCAAATATGTATACACACTTTGAATAATAATTAATTCCAATGGGTTATATCTGGAAAGAAAGAAACATCCACTGAGCTTTCAGCTGTCAAATGTGTATATATTTTTTGGGACACCCTGTATATATTCAATTACGTTTTACTCTCATATTATTTTGTATTGCTTTCAGGTATACAGCATAGTGGAAAACCTTACAAAGTGGCGCCCTGATATGTCCAGTACCCACCTGGCACAAGGCATAATTATTACAATATTATTGACTACATTTACATGCTGTATTTTACAACCCTCTGACTATTTTGTATCTACCAATTTGTACTTCTTAATCTCATCACCCCTTTCACCCAGTCCCCTGACCCCTCTCCCCTCTGGTACCACCAATCTGCTCTCTGTGTCTATGAGACTTTCAACTTTTTTATTTTGTTCTTGAGATTCCACATATAAATGAGATAATATGGTATTTGTCTTTCTCTGGCTGACTTATTTTACTTAGCATTATACTTTCTAGATCCTTCCAGGAATATCTTGAAAATATTGCAAAACCTTTCAACGCTCATATATTTCTTCTCTTACTGCTTATCTTATGCATGTATTTTGCAAGAATAATGAAAGGACTTTAAAAAACCATAAGGTGATACTAATAACTGAGCTCTTAAATTAGTAGTTTTATCTTGTAGATTGTTCTATATGACTCCCAGATTTTATGAGCTAATTGTAATATTTGCTTAATAACATTTGTTAGGCTGTTTAACAAAGTCATTGCAAAATGTTTCATGTATCTCTTAATCACCATTGCAAAAAAATAAAAATCCAAATCAAGGCGATCAAAAGCCAGTAATGACAGACACGGAGCAATGATCTGCGTACACAGTGAAACAACAGCACGCCAAACAACAGGCACATCCTTCATGAGAATACACGACTTAGTTCCAACCACAATGTAACATTTATATTCTATGAACGTGACAGCAACCACCGCACAGCATTGCTGCTCAGTTCCACCAACCTTACCCGATTTATCATTCTTGTTTCAAAACAGAAAGCAGGAAATGTTTTCTAGGTATTAGGAGCCGTGCCCAACAGGATGAAATGTTACATCCCTTTAAGAAATTGCTCATTTTAAACTGTAAAAAAGAAACCGGCCTTGACGGACACAATGCCATTGGATAAGTGTGGTTTTCTTGCTAGTTTGCTAACTAGCTCTCTACTTCTTTTCCTCTGTTTTTCCATTTGAATCAAAGCGAATAAATGTAGTTCATTAAGAACAAGACAAAAATAAGTTTTTTTTAAAGAGAGAATAGGAAAACAAGGGTAAAATGTGTATGTCAAGACCAGAGGAACGGCACTGGCTGGTTGGCTCAGCTGGTTGGAGCATTGTCCCATCCACCAAAAGGTTGTGGGTTCAATTCCCAGTCAGGGTACATACCTGGGTTCCAGTTCAATCCCCGGTCAGGGCATGTATGGGAGGCAACCAATCTCACATGGATGTTTTTCTCTCATATGGATGTTCCTTTCTCTCTCTTTCTCTTCCTCTCTCTCTAAAAATAAATAAAAAAATTTAAAAAGACACACAACATATCCTTAGGATATCCTCAGGTAAGGATTAAAAGAAAAAAGACCAGAGGAACAAATACTAACAAAGAATGCATGTCATTTGATTTTCTACATTTAACTATGAAAAGTGCAAATT